GTACAGTGGGGGGGGATCCATCAGGAGAGTCCAAAGGGAAGGTACAGGGGGGGGTCCACTTAAGGTGAGTCCATAAGCATATAATGGCTTCAAAGTTAAAAAAAAAATTCTGTGTTTGGTCCCCTCTCAAAAATACCTGGATTTTCTCTTGTAGCACACTGATGTTGGTGTAAATTGTGGTCTTAAGAATAACAAAGGGGTGGGAAAGCCCCCTTTGCCCCTCTACAGGGTTCTTCTTGTCTGGCAAACCAGACCAAACAGGCATTAACTAAGTTCTAGATTGACGACACCTCACAAGTACTGGTTACAGTGCATTCACTAACACTGTACTGTACATGTACCTTGCCATCACATTTGTGTGCCTCTCCCCAAGCTGCCATTACAAATGGATCATTAACTGAGATACAGGCAACAACCTCCACTCCTTTTTCCTAGAAGATAAAAGACTCCTTAGACTAAGAAACATCACATAAAAAATTCCTTTACAAGAAAGAAAAACCCTCTAAAATTTCCTTGGTTCCTAACCTGTGTCTCTGTAGCTCAGTTGGTAATAGTGTCTAGTCTCTAGAAGGCATGGGTTCAAATCCCATAGAAGCCTGAATTTTTTCAGATTTCTTTTCTGAAATAGCTAAAATTGCAGTTCGTCTGTGAGGACCACTTCTTTACTTGACTTAAACTTCATATTGTGTGGTAAAACATTATAGCGGAGCTCGCAGAGCGTAGCCCCATAATTATACAAAATAGTAGTAACCCATCAAGCTGAAAAAATTTGGTTGTATGACCGTACAACTGTACAAGGTGCTACTTTTGACATGCGTGGTCAACTGTACCGCGGGCACGCCAACACCATGGCTTTGTTCAGTAGTCCAGTGGTCAGTGCACTAGGCTCCAGGTTCTAGTCCTGGCCGGGACAAGTTGTGTGGGAAAAAAAAAAATGCGAGCTCTACTTTTAGGCTTGGCTAAATCTATATATTATACAATGGCTCTATGTACAAAAAATTTGTTTGTTAATTTCACATTACCTCAACAAGGGATATCAAAAGAAAAAAATTACATGTCAAAAAAAATATCCCATCTACTACTAAGAGTTTATTTGTTTTGGTACACCAATATTTATTTAATAATTTACTTCATAACCTAAAATAGTTATACACTGTTCCAGAGAGCAACATTGTGCAGGTGGCAAATTGAAGTGGCTTGTGTCAAGTTTGTAGGAGATTGTAAATCCACATTTTCATCAGGACCCATTTTTCTTTTTTTCAGTTTACAGAGAAACTAATCAAAAGAAAATTTTTTTGCTTACATTTGCTAGGGACTCAATCTTAATACCAGACTCAGACTACATTCTTGGTAAATGATGGAAATTAAAATGTATATCGAATCTCTCATTTTTACTCAATTTTCAAGTTTTAGTTGCATCAGCTATTACATGATTACTTAGATTCATAGACTCACAATTTAAGTAAAGTTGGACTGGAAACAAAATATGAGCTGTTTTAAATGCAATCATCGTGGCTACCATATCATACTTTCCACCTTACCTTAAATTTTTCAAAATCTTCAACATATCCTGGAAGATGAGTCTGAGCATTTAAAAAAAAAAAGTCCATTACTATAATAAATAGTTTCTTATTTAGGCACAACCTTTCAATAACTATCAGTAAGATTTGTCACTTTTAACCAGCAAGAATGACTAACTTTAAATTTCTCCTTACCACATCACCCCTGAATCAACCATTGGGGTCACAGGAATAAGGAAAATGATCACCAACTAAAGATGTCAGTCTCACTGTCAGCACCTTTCTGTCAACATCCCGCCCACATTTTTACACCAGTATGATGTTTTCACCTCATTTTTCTGTCACAAATCACTGCAAATAATATTCCACACAAACCTTAGAGCAACCTGGAGTAAAGGCACCTGGTACAGCAAATAGCACCCCTTTTTTTCCTGAGAACAAAGTGGCCACATTGACTTTGTCTTTAGGAGTTCCCTCCATGACTTGAACAGAAGGAAGCTTGTCACCAATCTGCAGTGAAGGTATACCAAATAAAAGTAAGTCCCAATATCACATAACAGCATGGTAGCATTCTGAGTTAAATCATAACCATTCCAATTTCCTCAAATGTGATTGGTGCATCACCTGCTCTGTTTTTTTCATTAATTGTTCTGTGAAGTTGTAATTGCATAGTGTAATAAGATAGTTGGCTGTAATCAGACAACTGCAATCAGAGAGTTAAAGCAGCCAATTCTACTACATTCACTGAGCTGAATCCACCAGTCACAGAATTGACTACATTAACCATAGCAACAACCCCTTGCCTTTTAAAACTGACAAATTTCCAAAATAGAAATTTTTTTTACTGTTGATAATTGATAATTGATATTGGAAGCCCTTACTCAAGTAAATATTTCTTTTTCAGACATTGTAATAGTTATGATTAACTGGTAACAGGACTTCACGTCATCCAATTTGGTATGTAATCATGCTTTCCATTGACAAATTTAGACTCCACTGGGTCCTATTACCATTAAATACCAAATTCTCCTTGTCAGTCCCATAGGAAATGTATAGGGAACAGTGTAGAGAATATAAATATTGATATTAAGGTGTAAAGGGTTAAGAATATGCTTGTACTGCACATGCCCTTCTCTCCAAAGTTTCCTGGAAACAGGTAAATCTTACAGTCTCTACTACAGTTTTCTAAGTGTTCCCGATAGAGGTAAATTTAGATACATTAATTTTTTTCTCTGAAGAGGGGAAATCTAGTAAATTTGAGGTTACCTTGGCAAAGATGGATGCATTGTAATTTTTTTTTTAATTAGGTGCATCAATTTTTGTCAACAATGCTGTTTATCTTGGGGAGAGATTAGGATAATAAGTTTATAATGGGAACAATATTTTCTGAGAGAGAGGGGGGGGTATTTCTCTCTGAAATATTTCCAGTGTTTAGATATCAAGAGGTTGACACTTAAACATGAGGGTTAGATGTTGTGAGATGATTACCAAGAACATTTAAACAGATTTCCTAGAGCCCCCTTGCTCATCAAAATACAGCTTGTGTCTCCTCCATGCAATCATCATTATGTACC